GAGCAGGGGAGAAGAAGCATCGCTGAACAAAATGAGCTGGTGCTGAGGCTGTGTCCCTCCGTGGAGACTCCCTTGCCTCTTTCACCCTTACCTTTCTTGAAGGTGCAAAGGGGTCCTTTGGTAGGAAGTTTTATTTTATGCTTTTCCCCCTCAGAAAAAATTCCTTTCTCTCAATGGCCTCTGCTTGTTTTTATTGCATTTTGAACAGTCAGCTCTGATTTTTATGGGCATCTTTTATTCTTGTGTTTATTAAACTTCTTCACATGGAGGTGGGAGTAAGGGATGAATTCTTCTCTGGTAGTTTTTTAACTGAATAGGCCACACAGTCTTCTTCAAATATATAACTGGGTCTTCTGAAGTGGGCCTTGTCCACTTTGTATGTGGGCTTCTGGATTAAAAGGTTTTGAGAGCCAGGAAGGTCTCGCTGGACACTGTGTTCTTTTCATCTCATGATGGCGTGTGCTCCGAAACTAAAAGAATAAGCAAAAAGATTCCTCTGTGGGAATTAGTGTAACTTCAGATGCTTTCTTCTCTGAGCTCCAGAGATCTGTCCGTTACAGGAAATTATTTAGCGAGTATAGTGGTGTGCTTGTTCATTTCTTTTATTAGCAAGAAGATCAATACAGCTGAATTTGTGCATCCCTGCTCTGCTGTTAAAGGGAGGGGAGTTTCATTTAGGACGGTTGGATAAGGAAGGGGTGGGTTTATAGCACTGCTTTCACATGCCCTTATGAATATTTCAAATCCTTCTTAAAAGGAAGCCCCTTGCCATTCCACAGTGACCCTGCAGCCTCCTGCTGCCACCCTGTCCCCTGGCCTGAGACAGCCAGGTTTCATAGGAGGCTTTCACCTGGAACATCCCTTTTGGAGGGAACATTTGTTTAGTTTATTTTTTTAAAAAGGCAGAAATTCCGAGCAAGCTGTCACATGGATTTGCTTGAAGTACCGTGAAATCATAAATGCAAGATTGTTGTAAAGAGAGTGGACCTGGTAATGGATATGTCTAAGCCTCCGGCTCTGTAGGATCCTATTGTTCCCGTGTTTGGGGGCGCAGCTGAGGGGAGGGACAGGGTGCCAATGTCTTTTTCTTTAAGCGTGTTAATATTGATTTTAGAAGCTCTGTGTTCCAACAATATAAATGCAAATGCCTGTAATTGGGAGCTGCGTGCAGAATTTCTCAACAGAAAACATGTTCAACTTTTCATGACAATGAAAGGAAAATAAAAAGCTGCTTATTTATTGCTGGTGGTTTGAATCCTGGATTTCCTTTCAAGTTACTTTGCAGGGCTAAATAAAATACCTAATTGCAGTGCTCACAAAATTCAAATGGGTACATTTGTTCTTCTGGGAGCTGGCGGCTATTTGCAGGCTCTGGACACCCTCAGCATTATTTCAGCACATCCATAACTTCTGGTTGTGCTCGAAGGAAAATCTGTGGGGGATTTAATAAATAAATAAATAAATACATAGAAACCCCAAATCACTGCTGGCACAAATCACTGCTGAAGCTGGAGCGTGTACTCAAGTGTTGGAAGTGGAAATGGGTGAGGATCTCAAGGTAACGCTTACGGATGATGAGACTAACACAAAGAAAGGAAGTGTCAGTGAGCATCTCTTTTTAATTCCCTGGTGATTCTCTCCTCTACCTTTCCCACCCAGGAAGAAGCAGTGATGGTTCTTGATGGAGCTGAGTGTGATGCTCCTTGATGGAATTGAGTGTGTTGAGCTCGCAGGGCTGCTGTGAAATGTGGGAGAGCGCCTGTCTGCCTTCCTGCATCCCGGTCTGTTGGGGGGTTGTGTGTGTGTCTTAAGTGCTCACCATTTCATAATAATTACTAATGAAATTCTAGATCTGTAATAACATTTTGGATATCTAAAACAAACCATATGCTTGTAAAAGAAAAAAAACAGGAGAGAGAAAAAAAGTGGAAACAGATCAACTTGAAGCCATAAATTCTTGGTAATAGAGGCCTCTTTCACCCCCCCTCCTTCTGTTTATGGTTGATAGATATTTTTGTTTCTGCAGGAATGTCAACTCTTAATTTCATGATGTATCATGGGCTTAAGAAAATTGAATTTAATAAAGGCAAAAGATGAATGGCACCTTTAAAGGTCCCAACACTTGTCTTTATTAGCAGGACAAACTGCAGGGTCTCCAAACACTGCTTCTCTCCAAATGAAAGTTTAAATGAAAAGTACAGCAGTGTCACAGGTTAAATTTCATTGCAGGACTGGCTAACGTCGTTAGTGAGGAGTGGGGCTGATTTCATGGGGCTGGTATCTGTTGCCTTAGATACCAGTGGAGCAAACACTGCCAGAGACTGGAAAAATCTCCGCTATAAGAAGTGTGCAGATAAACAGTCTTTTGGGAAAGGTCCTTTACCACTTGCTTCAGAAACTGACCAAATAAGCCCAAAAGAGTGGCTGCGCTTTCTCCCAAGACACTTGAGTTGCTCCTGGGGTTCCACCCCTGCGCCTGGCCGTGTGCTTCCCAAAGACCTGCAGTAATTCTGGGTATTGTTAGATTTTTCCACATTTTCTTTTAGTATGGCTTTTTATTTCCTCAGTTTGTCTTAATCTGACCCTCCTGGAAGTGCTTTCTGCCTTTGATTCTGGAAGGCAAGCGACGCCTTTGTGTATCAGATCAGCAGCAGGGCCGTCTTTCAGTCTCACTTAGCATCCAGCCACTTGATGGCCCCTGAGGATGTTTCTGGTCCCTTAGGACTGATCTCAGCATTGCAACGCAGTCCTGCTGTGAAATCCAGCCGGTGCATGTCCCTCTCTGGGTGCAGGGATGCTCTTCTTGCCCTGCTGTGGGCTTACGCACTTCCATGGTCAGCCCCTGGGTGGGATGTTGACCGAAGGAGCAATGAGCTGGCCCAGCATGGTTTGAAGGGCAGGGTGGTGTTATCCTGGGGTTAAGCCTGGCTCTGTTGTGACATCCTGTCCATTGGCTTCAAACTTTGTAGTGTGTTTTCTTTCTGAATGTAAATCTGCCTCTTTCAGAGCCTGTCTGTGGTAGCTCTTTTGAAGGAAGGATCAGCTGCGTCCAGCATTTCTTACTCAGGTTGAGTTTCTCATGTTTCCAAGGGTCCCCCTGGGGGGCTAAAGCCAGTGAGTTTGGCTGCACCACAACAGGCAATCTGGGTGATGCTCAGATATTTTCCCTCCCTGTCTTCCTCCTCTTCCAGCCCACAGCTTGAATTTCATGTCTTTCCAGGGGAAACTTGGTGGCTCCCTGCGGGGTGGTACGGCTGTGGGGAAGGATGCTCCAACCCTCCGCTCTGCCTCAGCCTGCATGGCAGAGCTTGGCACAGCCAACTGTGGGGAAATGGTTAAGACCTGTGTCCTCTACAGCTTGGCTGCTCCATGTCTACACCTGGGCACTTCGGCACTGTTAACACTTCATTTTATTTTCATTTTTTTCCCCCTAACTTTCCATCCCAAAGGCACGTGCTCCCCACGTGCCCTGATTTGGGCTGTGTGCCTGCTCCTCCAGGGAGGGAGAGCTGCTCTGCTGTGGCCATGGTCTGTCCACCATGGAAATCGCATGTTTCTCTTAGCTATTGAAATTATTTGTTGTTTCCATTTACCCACCCAGCTTCTTGCCCTCCCCTTGCCTGCCAGCGAGGTGATGTCACCAGCTCATATGTATGACTTCAGGATAATTTCCGCCTGCGGGTCATGAAGGTTGCAGCCAGGGTCCAAAAACTGCGTTAGTTCCTCTGCAGCGGCTGTGTTTTCCACATGCTAATTTTACTCGCAGGAGTTGGATTTTTTTTTTCTCTTTATTTTTTTATTATTTCTTATTTGTCTCTTCCAGATGTTTTCAGGCAGTTGTTTTTTCTTTTTTTTTTTTGGGTTGTTGTTAAACTAATTCCATTCATGTTTTAAAAATTTATGAAAGCGCTAATAAAAATGTCAAAGTGGTAAAAATGTTAGCTTTTGCTCTGCTTTGATTAAATTTTGCAAACTGTTTTTGAATATTAAAAAGCAATATTTTTTTTATTCTCTCTCCCTCTCTCTCTCTTTCTCTCCAGAAGTGATTTGAGAGGCTTGTTGCATGGATATCACTCAGCAGGCTCATTTGCACTCCAGAACCTTGGTGCCATGGATCTCTATTAAATAACATAGACAAATTATTCTTTAAAGACACCAAACAAATTGTCACTTCTGCTCTTACATTAGACTGGAAGGAGGGAAGGGAGTGGAGAAGGAGGGGGTGAACACAAAGGATTTTATCGCTTTTATTCAGTGGTCGGCTTTTTTAATTTCGTGTATATTTTTTAATAATTGAGAAATCCATCGCAACTGCATTTGTTTAAACTTTTTATTAACAGGTCCATGTAAATTTTTGATTGCTGATTATTCAAATAATTGAACATTCTTCTGATGAAGGAACGTTTTTATTTCCCTATCAGCATAAATTGGCTACAAAGAGGAAGATGAAGCAGGGCTTGCTACTGTGCCGTATCCCATAGGGATGGATTGGGGGTGCTTCCAGCTCCTTTCCTCACTCTGTTGGAGGAGAACAGTGCTCCTCAGCCTCTTGTTGCAGTACCTCTGTTGTCTGTCTGGTGGTGTCCTCTGAAAGGATGGCAAGGTGGAGAGGCTGGGGCTGGTTATGGGGAATATCCCCTGCGATGTCCTCGATAAACAGACATTATCCCACTCAAGTACATCTCCATGTTCCCTGCCTACCATGTGCGAGTGGTGCTAGACCATGTTCCTTAGGTTAGGCTTAGGCAATGATACATGCAGTTGCAGCACTGGGCTCAGAGACCTCCTTGCTGCACCATCTTCTGTGCTCATGGCATTGGAGGTGTTCAGTGCTCCAGCACCACTTTCCCACTTGTATTGCAGAGCTCTGTGTCAGGTTTGGTTTTGTTTGGGACTGTCAGGCCACTCCTTTTACAGTCAGCTTGCTAGGCAGGATCATTTCCAGCTTCATTTTTTATTTGTTTTAAATGAACAGCTGCTTTTCTTTTTGCCCTATTCAGGAAATCATCGAATTCCCAATCCTGAAGCTGAATGGCAGGACGATGGAGATCGAATCCACCTTTCACATGTATGTTCAGCCTGTGGTGCATCCCCAGCTTACGCCCTTCTGTACAGAGGTAAAGTGCAAAGGTTCCCTGGTGCTCCGAGAGTCTTCCTGGGAAGCAGGTTTCCATTGCACCAGGGGTTGGGGTTGCCTCTTCATGGTGTGTCATGCCAACCTCGAGTTAAGGACAAAGGAAATGATCTTTTGTCATTGCAATAACATGTAAGGACCTCAGTTTGGATTCATAAATAACTCTATCTGTAATCTGTTAACTAAGATAGTTTTATTTACAATTGATGATCATGTAGCTGAGTGACCACAAAATAAAAGCACTTGTGTTAGCTGATGCTCAAAATCCTTTCACCTCTCTGTGAGCTCTTTGTGACTTTTACCATGCTGCTCTTTGGTGGAGAAGGTCAAAGAGAGCATGGTCAAAGCAAAGAAAGTGTCATACAGCTGCATAGTTCAGAGGCTCTAAATGGCTCTCCTGTGGGCTTGCCTGTTGGGATTTGATGAGTCCTTCAGAGTGGTAGGATAACCCATGCCTCTATTTTTAAGACTTTCTTTTTGATGTCATGCTTGTGGGGCACTTGAAATGATTGCTGAGGAAATGGCCTCTTATTACTTGGTTACTCTCATTGCTGAGGACAGGTGCTCTTGAGCTGCAGCCACCTTTCCCCAAATACAGGCAAGAGGATGAAGGTGATGAATGCAGTCTCTGAGAGTTCAAAAGAATAGGGGGATAGGGGTTGGTTTTTGTGGGCGTTTTTGGTTGGTCACTTGTTTTTTTTCATTCAGCACAAAAAGCCAGCTGTTTCTGCAAGTGCATTCTTCCTTTGCTGTATCCATCAAAACAAAGTTTAAGTTCCTTTTCCTTTGGGATTTTTTTTCCTGACTCCACTGGTTTCATGTTGGGCAGCTCAGTGACTGAAGTACTGACTGTGAGAATCGGAGTATCCAAAGTCTTCATTCTGTCCCAGTCTCATTGACACTGTGGTGTGTTTTTGCTCTACTTCCATGGCTGCAAGTTTAAGCCCTTGAAGTGCTTGTCCCATGTGTATTAACTTGATGAAAACAACTCCTCTGTGTTAGGTGGAGTTCCCCTCCAGGACCAGCCAGCCCCTTCCATATTTCCACATTGTAAAAACAAATGCTTTTTTTTATTCTCTTGTAACTGAAAACCATCTGAAGGTATTTTATTTAAACTTAAAAAAAAAAAACAAACCACAGAAATCATTATTCCCCAGCGAGGGGCTTTAAGAAACCTATAAATGTGTGAAAACAGAGTTACAATGGAAACAGGTTTGCAACCTTAATGCCAGGAGGCTGGACAACTACTTTGGCTGTCTTTATCCCCATGAGACTTACTGGACATATGCTTGTACAAATGTGATAGATCTCACAGCTTGCACCTGATCTTGGCTAAAAGCAGCGTTATCTTCTGGAGTAGAGCTCAAAACATCCATTTTGCATGTCATCTAAATTCTAGAGAGACGTCATCTCATTAACTCCCACCAAAATGCTGTTTTTCTGGAATTCCCTCTTTTGCATCCTTCCCCTCCACTGCTAAAAGTTGCAGCTCTGTTCTTGCACAAGGGTCTGCATGATTTGTTTGGTGTGGCTCTCTGAGCTGGATCGAGCCTCCACCTTGCTGCAGCCTGGGGGCTTTGAGAGTGACTGAGGCATTCAGCCCATCTGATAATGGGCTTCTTATCAGGCTTTCCAGGGTGGAAATTGCTGTCCCTGGAAGTGTTCAGAAACCTGTGTAGATGGGGCCCTTAGTGACATGGTTTAATGGTGGGCTTGACAGTCCTGGGGTAATGGTTGGACTTTGTAATCTTGAAGGTCTTTCCAACCTAGTTGATTCTATGATTCTACAATGCTCTCATATCACAGTGCTGTTTTTTTTGTCTTCTCTTGCTCACAGGAGCCCGTAGCAGATGTTTGTGTCTTCACAGGTTTGTGTCTCCTTTGTGGAGCCCTTGAGTAAGCAAAGCCATGTGTGCTGGCTCTGCATTTGCAGGAGTCCCAAGGAGGAACATGGGTGTCTTACCGGCAGTGCTGTGCCTCAGACTGTGCTGCTGACCTCAGTCTTGTGTCTTGTGTCCACAGTTGGACAAAAATGGGCAGTGTTGAAGCCGGCAGGCAGCGTGGTCACAGAACCCTCACCTGTGTGTACTGGAGGCACAAAATGATCCAACTTGCCAGGTTTGGCAAGTTTTCTGTTGTTATTAACAGTGTGTGTTAGGGAGCTGGTTTTAATCCTAGCCTGGAAGCTACCAGCCTGTGCTCCTTAGCGCACAGTGTGGCCGCTGTCCCTCCTGCCTTGGTAGTTCCCCTGCCTGTTGCTATGAGGTCCAGGGAGTGAGACTGTGCTAGAGGAGTAACTGGGCTTGTCCCTGTGCCCCTTTATGAAAGCCCTGACTTTAGAACCCTGAGAGGCACAGGTGAGCTGGTTGTACTGAGGACCTTACTAAACATTTGCAAGAATATCCTTTTCTATTTGAAGCTGCTTTTTTGTGGAGTCTCATGGCCGTGTGGACAGACCTGTGGGGTCAGTGGCTCCAGCCCTGTGCCACTAGAGTAGGTTCCCCTGAGATGCCGAGGTCACAGCCAGGATGTGCTGTGAGTCCAGCTCCTGCACAGCTGGTGCCCACACAGCTCCAGCACCCGCCATTGACTTTCAGCTGGTTTCTGTTCTCTGAAAAATACCCATTTTGCTAAATGCCAGTAAAGGGCTTTGTCTAGGCACCTCTGCTTACAAAGGGTGAGATTTATTGGCCTCTTTGTCTACACAGAAAGACCAGGCCTGATTATCAGATTGTACACCAGAGACAAGTGCTTAGGCAATCAGCAAACTGTCTTGGAGTAGAAATACGATGGTTTCCCAGATAAACTCTGCAAGAAAAGCAGAGGTGTTGACATTACACGGGAGCCTGTCTGCTGTGCTTCTGCTTTCCCCTCTCCCCTCCTCTTGCTGCCTTTGCTGTGAAGCAACAGGACTGCTTGGTATAGATTTGTGGGCGGAGGATTATGGGTTTGTTTGATGTTACTCTTTGGGAGAACTTCTCGCATCCCTCTTCCTTCTTGAAGACAGCACAGCACGGGAAGGGTGTCTGCAAGGGTGGAAAGCTCGTGGTCACCCTCAAGGTATCCTTTTGCTTAGCTTTTAGTGTGTCTTTGCTCTCCCTGGCTACAGGAGGTTCCTCTGACTCCCCACACCAATGGCCAGGAGCACAGCTTCCAGTGCTAGCTCACCCTCTAGCACTATCCCAGTTCCCTTTCTCTTCACCTGTTTTTGTAAAACAACAGGTCATGAGGCTTGTTTTTCATGAGGGGTGTGCTGAACTTGTAGACAGAGAAGGTGGAAAGTGCTTCCAAGTGGTTAAAAGCTGTTGTTAGGTATATAAAGCTCATCATGCCCTTTTGGAAGATGCAAGTGGTTTGGCTGATGCCCAAGAAGGTTCATGCCAGGAGCTTAAGTGAAAGGTTCCCTCTACACAGAAGGTGCTTGTACAGGCTTTTTCATGGTACTTTGCTCTCTTTTTATGATTAATTTTTATTGATTTTTTTTTTTTCCTGAAGGAGCAGACAATAAAAGTACAAAAAAGATAAATGCCTTATAGCTTGTTTATGTTCCCAAGTACTGTGTGCTTCTTGGGATTGCCAGGGAAACTTTACAATTGTGCAGTTTTATGCCTTTATACTTTATCAAAGCTGCAAGACCAGATAACACTACAGAAACCCAGTGCACTAGGTTGGGTGTTACAGATGGGTGTAACTGATAATGGAAAGGATCAGAAAGGGTGAGAGAGTAAGAAATCTGGTCCCTTTTGAGCACTCTGACCTGTACTGAAATGTACCCGTGGAGCAGGTACGTCCCTTTGTATTCATGTGTGGCATGAATTTTGTGTGCAAGTGCGCGTAATGATGTGTTCTTGTACAGATAAGCTGTACTTCGCTTGGCCTGGTGGGGATGGAGTCAAGATCAAGCCATGACTCTTTGATAGGACCTCTGCATCCATCTTCCCATCCCTCCCTTCTCCTGATGGGAAATGTCTGGATGAGGCCATTTCACCCTGTCCTCCCATGGCCATAAGAGTTGCGCCACTGAAGAGATGCAGTTCTGAAGGTGCCAGAGTGGTAGAAGCCATTTACATCACTGCTGGCCATGATACAGAAAGGTTGCCTGTCATCCTTAGTACAGGAAAGACATGGGCCTATTGGAGCAGGTCTAGAAGTGGGGCACAAGATGATCAGAGGGCTGGAGCACCTCTTCTGTGAGGAAAGGCTGGGAGAGTTGGGGTTGTTCAGCCTGGAGAAGGCTCCGGGGAGACCTAATAGCAGCCTTCCTATACATAAATGGGGCTTATAAGAAAGGTGGGGATAGACTTTTTAGTAGGGCCTGTTACGACGGGACAAGGGGTGATGGTTTTAAACTAAAAGAGAGTAGGTTCAGACTAAGTATAAGGAAGATGTTTTTTCTGATGAGGATGATGAAACACTGGACGAGGTTGCCCATAGAGGTAGTAGATTCCCCATCCCTGGAAACACTCAAGGTCAGGTTGGATGGGGCTCTGAGCAGCCTGATGAAATTGAAGATGTCCCTGCTCATTGCCAGGCAGGTTGGACTGGATAACCTTAGATTCCTCTGTTGTTAACCTTTAAAGATCCCTTCCAACCCAAACTATTCTGTGATCCTTTCCCAAAAGCTCATCTTTGAGCTACTTCCAGACGTTTGATTTGAGCTACCCTCTGAGGGGCAGAGCCAGCACTTTGCAGTAAGTGAGCTGTCCACCTCTGCCAGGCGATGTAGGGAAAAGCAAAACCAAGCCAGTAAGCTTTAAAAATTGCTGTAAAGGGCCGTGCATTGATCTCTCAAATCTATTTGCCTCTCAGAGTACAGCAAGTCTGTAGGTAGCAGCTGTTACTCAATTAAAATAGAGATTAATATAAAAAACAGTTTCTGGAATATAAAAGAGTGTCTGTGTCCCTCCACTTCCTTAAAATTCCACCTTCTAATGGCTTGATGAACTTGAGAAACCTACCTAGAGGAACTCTGCGTTCTTAAAATTAAAATACTTTCCCTAAAAGGTATATGTTACCAATCCGTGGAAGTCACTATGAGAAAATAATCTTTCCACTTACAGCTTATTCGGTGAGTCAGGTATTTGGTATTCATTAAATGTAATTACAGTTTAATTGGAGTTTAATCTCTTTTTTTTTCCTTCCTTCCTCCAAGTTCAGTGCTGTAAGCCAAGAAGCCAAAGAAACAGAGAGGTAGAAACCATTGAGCTTCTTTCAGTTGCCACACATTTAATAAAGCAGAACCTTGTGGTTTGTGAGGAGGCTTATGTTTTATGAGTAGGTTGAACTGGTCTACATGGAAGAGTTACTCCTGGGTGGTGGTGGTGGGGCTGTCAGCACCTCTCAACTGGATGCTATGGCTTCTGGAGGCTGGGATACACGTGCAGGCAGCAGGGCATGCTCCTAGGCTGTGTCTGACCTTTATTTTATGAAAACGTGTGAGATGTGTAGCTTCAGGAAAGTGCCATATGAAGTGAAATCCTGTAGTGTGCACTTGTTTTAATAATGATTTTTTTAATTACTTGGGCATTGATGGCAAGCTACTGACCTCCAATATTCAATATGTTAAAAGACAGGTTTGTCAGTTGGAAGGCAGGCAGAAAAAATATCTATTTTCCATGTGCCTCAAGCTGTCCTGGGCAGACACAGGCAGAGGCCCAAGAGACTGCATCTTTTTATGCTTGTGTCTAGCTTTAAACAGCCAAGCAGTGTGGATACAGTCAGGACTATCTGTTGGCAGGACCTGTTCCTAAGGAAGCTCCTAAAAAAAACAGAGCAGACCAGCATTCTGGAAGAAAGTGGTTTTCTTCAGATTTCATTCAATTTTAAATACACTTTTGAAACACAGAGGGATGCTGTGATGGGCTGTGGGAAACAGTGTGTGCTGGCTGCCCAGCACAGGGAAGTGTGGATGGGTCTCACTAACCAGTACCGGTCTATTCTGTTCATCTGACACTGCAGTTCTGGTGTCACTGCAGTAGCAGGTGAATGACCAGAGGCTCTGGTAGTTACCATTGCCTGTGTAAGTCAAGGCAACATCAGAACTGGTGAAGTGCATGTTGCACAAGGGTAGCATTTTGGCCATCATGCCAGTATATGAAGCAGAAGGCGCCACTGCTCCCCAGGTGGACCCTGCCCTACTGAGAGCTTGCTGGTTTTTGATGTAGCCCCCCTACGTCTCTGTGTCTGGGAGACATCTATGCCCTTGCCCATGGCTGGGGGAGCTGCCAGGGTCACTCTGCTGTCGCTGGCTCCACAGCAATGTCCATGTGGGTCACAGGAGCATGTTTTGGTTGCAGCGAGATGGACAGGAGAGGAGACCTCTCTGGTGATCTTTTGAGCGCTTCTCTGACGCCTGCTTTCTGTTTGTCTCTCATTTCAGCTGACTGGGATTATTCAAGGCATGGTGGATGGGCAGCCAAGCCTCCAGCAAGTGCTTGAGGTAAGCAGAGTAACCTTTAGTTCCCGAACTCTGACCTCTGGTCCTGTTGTCCCCTCTTCATCTCTTCCCCTGCACCCTCCCCTTCCTGAGAATCGAACCGCGTAATTTGACTATGATTATAGCTTCATTAGAATAACATTTGCTGTCATGTTGGTGACACGCTGTTGAGAGTATTGAACCATTGATCTGTCATCTCCAGCTGTTCATGTCAAGGGTGCTGACAAGATATCCAAACTCCTGCCAGTAGATAGGAGAAGAGGCGATTCTTGCTTAAGCCAGTTTTAAAGCACCAGGACATTGCTTGAGACCGCTGCTCCGGGAGCTTCTGCATTTGTTTTCCTTCCCCTCCCTCAGTGCTTTATTAAATTATTTTTTTTCTACCTATTTAAATGCTCAATAATACATGTAGTCTAGAAAGAAAATGCCTCTAAAATCTAATCTGGAGGATATGCAGATGCAGATATAGCCCTAATAATGCCATCTACTTAATGCTGAATTCCTACAGCGTTTAGGGCTTAATTAGCTTGGAAGTATTTCTCCATCAATAGCTTTTGTTGATAGTTAAATAGTGAAGGAAACCTCCTCAAGCAGAGCCTGCTTAGGCTGCAGGTTGGTGTTCGATGCATTGTCTCTGTCAGGATTTCCACTACTGTGTTACCTAATTGTTCCTAATCAGAATAATTGCAACAATTGCTTATCTGAGGAAATCAAATTAAAGGCTTTAAAATCCTCTGTGGAGACAGCATTTCATGGGTGCTCACCTCAGCCAGTTTAGAAAGGTTACTGCTGCTGTTCCTTGCTCTAGGGAGCCTCCTGTAGGGCTGGCTGGAAGATCCCAGCAGCCCAGGGGAGGGAGAAGTGTGGATGAGCGGCTGGATGCTGCTTTGGGGAGCTTTACTCCAGAGGGCTGTTGTACAGTCACAGAATGAAGCACTGTCCTCTGCCAGAAGGGCTGCAGGAGTGACACGAGGTCGAAGATGGTGCTCTGCAAAGGTGACTTCTGTATCCATGCAAACTCCCAACTCTCCCTGGGCTCTCCAGAGAGCATGTAGCAGTGATGCATGTCTGTAAGCATATGGATGCCTGTGCCTGCTTCTCCAGGAGGGAGAGCCCTCTTTGCCTGCATGGGTGAATGTGCAGCACTGCTGCAGTGTCAGAAAAAACAGTTCTCATTCTGTTCCTACAGGAGCTTCATGGAGTGTGGAAACACTGAAAACGTGTTGATACAGTAGCGTGTTTCTAGGTTAAAATGAGTTTTGGGTCAGGCAGCTTCTGGGGCATGCTGATTTCTTCAGGAGCAGAAGGTGTTGCGCAAGGGAAAAGAGGAGGGATTTCTCTTGCTGAAGCACTGAAAATGCTGCTAGTGAGGCTGCATAATAGCAGCTGATAGCCTGTCACCTGCCACTGGAAGATTTTGGTCATGTCATTTGCTAGTTTTAGCTGGAATAAGTGTCTGTGCAGGGGTTGTAATCTAGGTTAGTTCCTCCTGGTTAATCCCTGAGGTGGATATTCATCCTCCAGATTAATGTGGCCTATTTCTGAAGTGGATCCAGAACATGTGTCCCTATGGGAAGTTGTTCAGGAATAGTGGATTCACCTTAAATACACACTGTACCCTCAACAAGCATCTCCTTAGAACTGTGAGGTGGAGAGATCCAGCCTGTAGAGGAAGGGAACATGTGGCTTGGCTTGTTAGTGCCACACGGTGCCTGTGTGTGTTCAGACCTTCCATTTCTTCCCCTCTCACGTATCTCCTTGAGCTCTCTGAATTTGAACATGTGAGAAATGCTGTAGGTGAGGGATGCTGTCCCAGGATGCCCATATTTTCCCCTCACTGTGAGCCCATTTGGTACAGGGAGAGGAAAAAGTGGAGGAGGAATGCCAGGTAACAGCGCTGTTGTATTGTCCCGTTAATGCTGCACAACTTCCATCCCTCCACAAGCAGAGCTGCTGCGGTGTCTGATAAGATCATCTCTGCTCTGGTTGCCTGATGTCTCCTATCAGAAATCTTCAAAGGTCCAAACGTGCTGTTGTTGAGATGGCAAGCAAAGAGAGAAGAGAGAGAGGGAAAGGGGTGGATAAGATCACAATTTTCTTCTCTCTTGATTGCAAGCAGCTTATCTGAGTGTAACTGTTGTGGCTCGGCCTGTCTCTGCAAAACTCATCCCCTTTTCTTGCCTTCCTTTCAGAGGGTTGACGAGTGGATGGCGAAGGAAGGCCTCTTAGATCCCAGCGTCAAGTCAATTTTTGTGACCTGTGGAGACTGGGATTTGAAAGTGATGTGAGTATGGAAGGGGAGGGAGATTTTCCTGGGCTTTATCACTCCATGTTTGGCTGTAGTATGTACTTCTTTGTCCTTACAAACATCCAACTGTCCCTAGTCTTTGTTTCTTAGGGAAATAATCATTTGCCATGCATAATTTGGAGTAGAGGATTGTTTAAGAAGACAGACGGGTGCTGGGCATGATGCAGGATCACTGCCTAGAATATTCCCTAAAGCAAATTAATCATTTTAGAACCCCAAGAAAGGTTTAAACTGTAGCTTTGTGATGTTATGCCTTTTATCCAGTACTTTCCAAAGGGATGTATATTTCTGAGTGCATAGATGGAACCGTGTGTCTGTACACCCAAATCAAGCAATGGTCCTTACCTGAACTCCTTACCTGACCTCCTCATGCAAGGCTTTCTCTCTCTGTTATCTTGGCACACTAACTGGATGTGAGTTGCAGAATAGTCTTTAGAAAAGAAAGTACAAGCCAAGTTTGCCATGCTTCATCAGTGTTCTTCCTGCTGAGGTCATCTTCATCAGCTGGGCAACTGTATCTTTAGAGTACCAGGTGGAGCCCTGCACTGGGATCTGCAAAGTGTCGGTGTCTGTATGTGTTTTGCTATGAAAATAGTTAGACCACCAACCTAAACCTGTTATTGAAAAGAACAGAGTTAAATGGCTAAGAATGGAATTAGTCTAATCTGTAAGGTGTTTGCAGATCAGTGCCATGTTGTGCTGAATTCACTTGGATTCCTACATCTTGCTCTTCATTTCCTCAGAGTGCTGGATAAAGATTCCTGTTGTTATCACACCGGTAAAGCATGGGCTTGACACATCGAATGCTAAACTGACATCCACAACTCGTTAGTAGTGTTACTTGGTTTTCATGGTGACATTGGTTTTCCCAAGTCAGAAACCTAAATAAACTGCACACAGCCTGGGAGCAATCAGCACCAGTTCTTCCTGCAGAGTGGTCTTTGTAGAGTGGCAGTTCCTTGCCTCTTCTTGGTGTGATTAGTGAGACATGAGATACGAGGACCCAAGCAGCGGCACAATCGCTAGTGGAGATAAGAAATTTCCTATGCTCTAGACAGGGGTGTGGTACTGAATCAAAATCTGTGTCTCTGCTGCAGCCATGTCCAGAGCTGGTATATATTGCCAATTCCTGTGTTACTGGTTTAAATTAAGAGTGAGGCTTATTTTTCCTTTAGATAGCATGTTAAACTTTTATTAGAGGCTATCACAGACACCTGCAGGGGTGTGCTAAACTTCTGTTTCTCATCTGTTCTTTTTCCTCAGTTCTTTACTCCTGTATTGCTGTTCTAAGAGTCCAGTTTAGCATTTTTGGTGATGGCTGTGAGGAAGAGTTGTTTTTCCATCACTTTCTCAGTGGAATAGCAAGGCTCCAAGAAACTGACATCCTAACTTGGTGTCTGTATGGAGTGGGCTACCTTATAGATGTTTGGCTGTTGGGGTTTTTTGCTTCAGAGCTCTACAGTGGGCAAATAGAGGTAAAGGTGAGCCTCATTTGTGGTGAGCTGTAGGGGCTGGGGTTGAATTGACGTAGCAGGACGTGCAGCTCTGGAGCAGAGATGCTCAGTTCACTATTTGAAGTGGTCTCTCGCATGGATTGTGCCTCACTAGTCAGCTGGAAAAAGAAGACTCCACTCCTGGCCATGAGGTTACAGCGAGTGGTTCGTTTCTCCCTCTTCCTTTTAAAAAATTTTTTTAAACCATTAACTTCAGAATTCAATCCTGAAGCATCTCCAGGGCAAAGCAGCAAATACATGTCGTGTTTCCAACCACATGGATAGTGGGAGTCTGGCTGCAGCTGCTTGGTGAGTAGCATATCACGTCGCTCCGTCGCCGATTGGGTGCCGCAGTGTGTAGCGTCACATCTGATTAGAGCCATGCCAGTAACTGAGGCTTGAGTGAAGACTCCCTGCCAGCTCTCACTAGCCTCATTTCCCATTACGTTTATCCATCACCACAAATGCCGAGTCTCCCTCCTGAACTAATTAAGTTTGCGTGTGTTTAGACACATTGCCAAATAGGGTTTAGCAAAGCAGAACTGAGCATCTCTTTTTAAAGAGGGAAGGCAGAGAGCTGAAGCAAGGCTGTTCAGACAGGGAGATAGAGCCTCAGAGATGTGGAACATCTAGGAGATATTCCAGGGAATCGCCCCATGCTTCCCTACAAGACCTGTGGTGTAGCTCATGCCCTTTGCTACTGTGTCGAGACTGCCCACTGGGCACAGAAGGCATTGGGGCAGTGGAAGGGGAGGCAGTGCTGCTTGTCCACATTTGGAGGAGTGTTGGTGAAAGCATTGTGTGGTAGAAACCCACTGTATTCCAAGGAATTCGGGACAATGAGGTGAGTGCAGTGCTTCCTGGCTTAGGGAGCAGCGCCTTTGGACAGGTCCATCCCTAATTCTGATGCTCCTTTTCTGACCTTCCTTAGTATTGACAGTGACGCAAGCTCCAGTCCTCTTACCCATTGTCTAGTTTGATTTGAAGTTCCTGTCATCCACTGTACTTAGCTCAGCTGTTGGTGGGAAACCATGCAGCCTTATTCCTGGCTTCTCTAGCAGTGACCTGGACATTTAGTTTCACTTCTTTCTGTATGTATTGTTGAATAGCTGAGGTGTGGTATCTTCTGGACAGGGCTGTCTACTGTGAGTGCTTCCCGTAGGTGCCAGAGCACCAGAAGGCACAGTGGGGTGAGTGACCTGGATGAGGAGAGTGCCTGGAACAAAGAGGAGGAATCTGCAAGCCTGTCAACGATGGATGTGGAGACAAGGTGGGGAAATAGGCCTGCCAAAGCCAGGAGTTGTGACATATGTAACACTCCTAGCTCAAAGAAGAGCATCAAAGGAATAGCGAGTGTCAAGGTACTGCTCTCTGCTAAGGGGGTCTGGCAGAATCCTGACTCTGCAAGATTCAAGATGGAAACAGCTGCTAAAGGACCAGTGAAGCCTCTTCTTGGCTCGGGGGTCTTCAGGGAATAAGGCACTGTGTGGCTACAGACTTTATTTCTCTTGAACCTTGGATGTTTCTTGGAAGATGGAGCACTAGTCACAAGTTGCTGGGTGCCCAGAAGAGGACACCAAGCATTTGGGAAGGGCTCATGGAAGTTCAGCATGAGTTGAGGTCCTCAGGCATGTTACCAAAGGCTTTGTCATGGGTGTGGTACACCATCAGAAGGATTGTCCCTGTTGGAAGGATTTGGACAGTGTTGGAGAGAGCCCATTGCATGAGAGGGCTCAGAAATGGAGTGCTGATCCTCTGCTGGCTGTGCTTGCATCAACCGGCTTTCAGCACTTGGTGTGTGTGTGTGTGAACCAAGCTGGATTCGGGGAGACAGCAGCTCTTCTGCCAGCCCTTCCCTTCCCTCTTGTTAAGATGCAATTTCTTTAATGAGGAAAACCTCTTGAGTAGGAACATCACCTTTCTGAAGGCTTGTCCTGACAAGGCAGTTCAAGCCGACAGAGCCGCATATCAACTTCAGCAAATATCAGTCACTCATTACAGAGGCTCTTCTCCCCCACACCCCCTAGCAACACCCCTCGTTCCTAGACAAGGGAATGAATCACACTCCTGCTCTTGAATACATCATGACAAGTCGTGGTTCTAATGAGAGAGGGCCATTCATTCAGGGTGGAAAGTTCCCTGTGTCGACACAGAAATGTTATTAATTAAAGAGAGCTACCTGAAGCAAAAGATAAAACGAGCACCAGACCTGCCAAGCTAAAATATGAGTGGGGATACAGCCTCGTTAGGCACACGGTCCTCGGGCCTCTGCATGCTCAGCGGGTGGATTCCTTTAGCCTGTTGCAAGGAGCTATCCTCTAAGTTTAACAGCTTCAGGGATGGACTCAGATACCTGGTGTAATCCGCTTTAGTGCTTGGGCCTCATCCTGCACCTAGGGTGGAACTGCCACTACTCATTAAGCAAATTGCATTGATGTGGCATTGGGTGATGAGGGTAATGTGCCTCTGAAGGGCTGAGGGAGCTACCGACTGCAGGAGACAGTTCTAGCGGAAAAGGGTACTCGGTGTCTGTTGGGGTTGAGCCCTTGTAATGAAAGCTCTTTAGCGTGGTTTATCTCCTCTGAAATGTCAAATTGCCTCCCTCCGTGTATGGAACTGGTTTGCCTGCTCTTAAGCACAATGTGAAATAATCCTGGCAACCAAAGAAGCACTTTTACTATGTATTCATAGCTACAGAGCTGAGATACGGTGAGGTTAAGTGATGTGCCTGTGGTTGTGTAGGCAGGTAGAGGCAAAGAAAGGAGCTGAAGGCACACATGCTGAGTCTTGGGCCTCCACCTTAATACCAAGAGCATCAGTTAATCCTCCTTCCAGTTTTGTATCATTCTGCAAATGCATTGAACATAGGTATAGGCTTTAGTCTGTATATCCTGGCATGAGGACACTCGTACTGCACTTACTGTGGCTGATCAGAACATGCTTATTTATGTCTTTACAGGAAACTACTGCTCTGAAGTTTTTTATTTTCTTAAGTAAGTGTTAAAAGGCAAGTACTCTCTAATATAGTGATAAAACACAGTGAAGTCTCTTGAAATGTTTATAGCCCTTGGTGCTCTTCCTCGGTTGCATATTAGTAAATTCTGAGCAGTAAATTATACCATTGCTTAATTTTATCTCACTGTTTTAATTCTTTCTTTGCAAGTTACACAGGCTGGGAGGATGCTTGCCTTCCTAGGGCAGTTTGCAGTGTGGCAATGGGTTGGTCTTTCCAGCCTTCTGTCCTGGAGGCTTGGTTTGAGATCAGCCTTAGGTAGAGAATGAAGAAGGATTGATGGTGTTAGCCTCCCTTGTGATGTTGTTCTTTATCTCGGAACCAGGAGGGGATTGGTAGCTTCTGCCTGGGGGAGAAATTACAGCCAGCCACTGGATGGAGTGAGTGGGACCACTTGGTAGCTGTGGGAAAGGCAGGAGAAGGCAGAGGGTGGGCTGGTTGGGTGGCAGCAGGGCAGGAGGTACGTTCAG